TCACCGCGTGGCCTCTGGGCCAGCCAGCTGAAACTGAAGAGAAGGATTAAGAACTTGCAACTATAAGCAACAGAAAGAACCTTTAACTGCCTTAAACCAACTGAGAAATACACCGTAGAGAAGGATTTTATCTACCTATGGACAGTGAGAAGATGATGGATACCAGCCCTGCATTACCTCAGGCAAGAACAGGAACTACCCTGCCATTCTTAGGGAAGCCAGACACCAGAGGATAAGTCACGCTGCAGACCTCCACAACACCAATCCTGCTAACCACAAGATGGCTGCTGTGCCGCATCAACTGATGGTCAACTCTGCTTGCCAGAACTGCCTTCCGGAGACTGTATTCCATGGAGACTCACCTACAGTTGCGGAACTGCACGAGACCCACACTTGATCCAACCTTGAATGGAATCTATTTTCCCTATTGTTAAAAACTTTGGACTCCTGGCCCCTCTCCCTCTACTCGCAGGTATTGCATTTTCAATGACCCCTCTGGAGGATAGCTGTCCATAGAAGAGATAGAGTAATTGGGAGAGGGGGAAAGGGCTGAGGGTCAAACATAGGATAAAAAACATATTTATATGTATGAAAGTAGAAATGGAACAGTATTGGTGACGACATGCTTGATTGAGACACTATGCAGTTTATCCTAGATGGGAAACTACACTTGGTGTGTTGTGATGATACTCAGGGAATGAGTGTTAGGCAATATAATTTAATATAAAAAAATAATAATAATAAGCAGGAGGAAAAAAAAATGCACATTTGATGACTGAAGAGAGGTGTATGGACACAACTGGGGACTACTTTATAGTATGTGCATTCTACTCCCTGGGGTTTATGCCTAGGATCAGATTTGGATACATGTGTAAGGATATGTCAGCTGTGCTAGCTAGTGGATATATTTAGACAAATTGAGTTCATTGGTAGAACAATTGAATGGGGGGGGGCGGAAGCCATTGAGGGCAATCATGAATGTCAGGGACAATGGAGGAGGAAGATGGGACATGGCAGAGGGTGGGGATGGGGAACCTAGGATGGCAAAACAAAAGGCAAGGTATGCAGGACACAAAAATTGGGAAATCATTTGCTGAGAACATATATGTTGATGTGCTTGATTGAGCCAATACACAGTGTATTTTGGATGGAAAATTCATATGTGTGTTGTGATGAGAAAAGAAAAAAAAATTTATAATAATAATAAACATTCTCTTTGATTGTCATAGTGACCCTCAGAGGAAGATGACACATAGGGCTTCATGTGGGAAAACACACCCAGAGGGCCTACATCTCACTTGCAGTTACTAAGTGACCTTCAATAGCTCGATAAACTACCTCTACCTTAAACCCTGAGTGTATTTCATATTATTCTGCTGCCCTGTAAGTTTTGCTAATGTCCTCTTTTATTTTTTCCTTTCCTTTTCTTTCTTTCTTTCTTTTTTTTTTTTCTTGTTTTGTCTGTTTTTCTTTCTCTGAGGACTGAGTGGTACTACCACAGGGAAGGAGCTTTTGCACGTAGTAGCAGCAGCTGCTCTTTCACCCCTCCCCGTGATGGTTTGTTGGGTTTCTTGGCTGACTCAGTGGCTCCTTTTTCTCCTTTGGGAGCAAGTTGTCCACAAGGAGCTGCCATTCCCTTCTGTTTCCTCAGGGATGGTTCTGCCCCTTGAAGTAGGGGTCAGTCAGGGGACATATCTGTCTGTGTAACTTTGCATAAGTCTGGGTAGTTCTGAGGTTCAGCCATGGGGAAGTACGAGCCATCTCCTTCGTCTTTCCCTTTGAGAATTACTTTTGCAGCTTCTCATTCCTCTACCCTCCCTCTCGGTAGCTGTCTCTCCTAGAAAGAGCTCATGCTCTCAGGTTGCCTCTTCCATGCGATAAGTTTACAAGGCCAGGACCCAGTCTTTGCAGTGATAGGAGAAGCAGTTTTAGGACCCAAAAAGCAAAATACACCTGAATTGAGGCAAGTGATAAGGCCAGGGATGGTGATTTTGATCATTGGTGGTGTTTTCTGATGTAAGCTTATGTGGTTTTTAACAGTGGAATTTGCACAGGATCCACTGTATGGATGCCTTCTGGTGGGCCATTTTTAAAAGTTTTTTTATAGGGCATGTACACTCACCCGACAGAAAAAGAGAGAGGGAAAGTAAAAAATCACCTTGGGGGTGGGGGGAATGGATACACTATAATCCTTTCTCCTCTATCCTCCTCTTAGAGTTTTGGGGAATGCATGCACACACACCCAATGTATTTTTCAAGCTGTCAGGTCTGGTACTTGAACCGTGTGGCCGCCTTAACTTCAACACCATCTGCTGGCTCTGAACTGTTGGCTTTTAACTGCTGTAGCTTGGCCAAGAAGCTTTGAGACTTAGACCTTGGTGGGATTCTGGAGCTTATGATGTTGTTAGCTCTAGGAAAGTGACTGTTTCTCCAGAATTAGGCCTTGAGCAAAGGTAAAGTGTCTTAAGAAAGATGGGAGCATTCTTAGGCCTAGGGAAGGCACAGGGACCTTAGCACTGGGAAATGCATGAGAACTGAGTGGTGTTGTATTGCCAATCATGCAAATCTAGCAAGTGGTGCCTTGATAATCTTGTCTATGCGCTTTTTGAAAATTTACATGTATGGGGCCAGCAGGTGGCATAGTAGTTAAGGTGCTGAAGTCACAGATCCAGAGGCTTGAAATTCATGCTAAGCATGTGTGCACACGTGCCCAAAATCCCAAGAGGAGAATGAAGGAGAAGGTATTGCAGCATGGCCATTCCCCTGGGAGGGGGAAGGGAATGATTTCTCACTTTCTGTCTCACTGTCTCTGTCTCTCTGGTGAGTACATGCACTCTATAGCAAAATCTCAACAACAAAAAATTTACATGTAATCATTGTATATCTTTATAAGGTACAATAGTTGTTCAGAGCATGCATGCAACTTAAATGAAGTTGAAGATATTATCATATGCAGCATTCTCAACAGTTCTCCATTCTGTGTCTGTTAAATGTCTATGCTTGTAACTCACTAGAATTGTTACAAGTTTAGCACACCAGAGGCTGACTAGAAATAAGCAATTTTCTGAGGCCCTGACAGAGCTATGCCCAGTGCAATGGGAGAAAGAAACTGCTGATGGAACTTCAGTTTCATTCAAGCACTGAAACCTCCACTGAAAGAGTCAGGAAATTAATCAAGGACTAATACTTCATTGCATTTCCAATTCACAAGGACAAGAGAAATTGAATGTTGACTTTAACTTGCAAACGTATTTAACATTTTTGATTTTAAAATTTTTCCTTGGGAGTTTCATAATTGAGAGTCTCTATAATGTTGTCATTCTATCATTAAGATACCTTAATATTGTTATTTAATCTCACTACTGGAAAGTTATAGCTGCACTATATCTAAAACAGATACTTCATGTTTTCAAATAATTTCCAACATTAGACTGTGTGGCCTTGGAGTAAATTTGATTACTATTCTAGCACATGTAAGAGCCTCAAGGAGGTATTGATGGTAATTGATGGGCCAATTTACATGGCCCATCAGCAACTCAAGGAGATGCCCATAAGAGTACTGGCTGTTTTGAAGGAACCTCATGAAGACAGACGTAAGTGTATGGACACATGGCCGCTCTTGTCCCATGAAGGACAACCATGCTTCTGTGGGACTATAGGTAGAACTGTTAAGCCCGATGGGAAATAAATAACAAAGCGGTGGTGGGGACTGGAGGTGGGGCATGTTTCTTTGTCGTGCCTGATGTTTCCTCCATATGGAGAGATCTCAGTAAATAAAACACAGATTTGATTTTCTGTTTATGTTCATTCAATCCCCACAGTGGAGGGACTTCCTCGATGGTAGATTTGGAAGGGATAAGGAGGGAGGACACGCTTGGCTCAGCTACTCCCTCCTTCACAGGGGTAGGCATCCTGGATCAGTTCTGCTGGTGACTGGTTGGGCACCTCTGTCTAATGTTGGGGTTTATTTAGTATTAGCAAGTGCACTTCCCCATGGAAATAAGTCATATCTTTCCACTTGCATTTTATCTGTAATGAGGGCAATATTTGGTTCCCATCCATCTTACTTATCTGTCTTATTTCAGTAGTTCAATAGCCATGTGGGAAGGGAAGAAGGTTGATAATTGTTGGACTCCCTCAATGATACCACCCTCAATGACTCTTCAATTGGGGCCCAGGGGGGCCATGGCTCCTCAGTGGTGTACATTCTCCAGCAAGCCCTCAGCCTACCTCCAGGCTGCTCCTGGCTCTGGCTGGAGCTTTCTGCTGCTCCACCTCCTTCAGGGCACTCCCTGGCTGGCTTCTCTATGCTTCCATGGGCCTCGAGCTCAGAATGGGGGAAGTTCCGTGTCCACCATGTCAAGCGAGCGAGCTGGAGGGAAAGAAAACACAGAGTCACTTGCCTTTGGAGAGAAGTCCAAGGAGGGCCCCACTCACGGAGGCTGTCAGAGCAATAGTACGGAGTACAAGCGACAAGCCAGGGCTGAGTCAGGAAGCCTGACTTCCTGAATGTCCAGAGGTGTGCTGAGTGCCAGAGTATAGACCCCAGTCAGGCACAGGCCCTGACCACGCAGAGCTCACAGACTGAGAGAAATGAGTCTGCGTGGAAAGGCAAGTGCCCAATAACAAAGACCTTCAAAGGTTAGTCTGAAAAGTTGATACTTCAACAAAAAACCTGATAAGCAATGAAGACTCACTGTAGACTTTGGGCAAAGGAAAGGGACTACACGTTTGGGAATGTTCAAAGATTTCTTAGAGTAAATTGAAGGGGAACCAGCCTGGAAACTTGTAAAAGTGAAACAAGAAATACTGAGCACCTGAGGTAATGGGTGACAGGGAGGAGTCAAGGGATACTGAGGAGGTAGAAACGACGTCTTTAGAGCTGAACACGGCAACTGACTGAATTAGGCAGGTGATGGAGATGCAGGAGGCTACAATGGCTCTTGGGTTCCTGCTTTGGAGATCAGATGGGTAGCAGTGCCCCTCCCAGGGATAGAGGACCCCAGACAAGAGGTAGGTTTTGGTGCTAGTGATAGAGGGGGAAAGAGAGAGGAAAGGAAGTAGGGGGATAGACAGAGAGACAGAGGTGAAAATATGCGCACTCATCTATGATGATGAGCTTAGAGTCTGTAGGACCTCTGAGAGGAGTCATTCAGATGCAGAGACTTTCTCTCTTGTCTTGTTTTGTGACCTAGCCAACTAAAACAGCAAGTTATCTGACTGATACCAGAGGTGGTGGATTCAACCATGACCCCCTGAGCTCTGAGCCATCTCCCTTCCAACAAGGCTCTTCTCTGGCTGGGCAGCTTTTTGTTACATGTTGAGCCAGATATCCCCTCCCTGCTTCTACCTTTCTACCTTCCATGGTGTATCCAGCTGTTCCAGGTGCAGTGTGCCTCTCTGTGGGGTCATGAGAACCTGCTAGGCTTCCACACCCATCAATATCTCTCAGTACAACTCACTTTTTTTTTTTTACACTGTGTGTCACTAGTAGAATATGGACCCTGTCTCTCTCTCTCTTGTTTTTCTTAAGTCTATTTTTTTTCTTAAATTCCCAAATGTATAGTCTCTTTCCTTTGCCTAAAGTGCCTGAGAGAGGCATAGGGTCTCATACCCTCTGTGTCTACAGGTTGACCTGGGAACTGAACTCCAATCTTCCATATGGCATTCCAGGATTGCAGGGTTCTATGCTACTGCGCTGCCTCATGGGTGGGCCTGAGTTTTGTCTCCATATCATCAAGAGGCAGCTGGATTTTTAGGTTTGAATCTTGGGGAGGAGTTTTGACTGGAGATAGGAATTGAGTGTCATCTTTAAGTACAAAGTTGTTGAATTCATAGCCCAGAGACATTGTAGGGTGACAAGGGTTATGAGCCATAGATGGGCTCCTAAGGAACAACCACATTTAAGGAGTACAAAGAAGCCAAAAGAGCGATCAGAAGAATAGTGAAAAAAACGAGGGAAAGGGACCAGCAGTTAGTGTAGTGGCTATGTCGCTGGACTCCCACATAGTAGATCACAGTTCGAGTCCCAGACCTGGTGGCTTAAAACTCATGCCGGGCACATGTGCATGTGTGCGCAAGATCCCGAGAGGAGAATGGAGGAGAAGGGATTGCAGCATGGCCATCCCCCCTGGGGGGTGATTTCTTGCTTTCTATCTCTCTGTCTCTGTCTGTCTGGTGAGCGCATGTGCCCTATAGCAAAAACCTCTCCAAAAAAAGGAAAAAAACAAGAGGGAAATATAGAAGTAAACAGATGGATGGTCTTTAGAGTGCAGGAAGTGCCCAGTGGTATCTAATTCTCCTTGGAATTTACAATGGGAAAGTGAGCATTGATTTTAGAAAGAGTTTATCAGTGACCTTAGTGAGAGCAATTTCAGAGGAATGCCAGGGACAGCAGCCAGATTGTAGTTGGTGGAGAATTAGACAAGAGAAGACAGGTGGAGGCCAGGAGTGGAGGTAATTCTTTACAAAAGTCTGTTATTGAGAGGAGGAGAGGAAGGTGGCAGTAACTAAAGGAGAACAAGATCCAGAAGGATTCTAATTTTTTTTAAGGCTTTTACCATAGGGCACATTAGTGAAAAGGAAAGTGAGAAATCACCCCCTAGAAAGGATGGCCATGCCACAATCCCTTGTCCTCCATTTTTCTCCCGGGATTTTGGACAGACACGCACATGTGTCCCATGTAATTTTCAAGCTACCAGGTCTGAAACTTGAACCGCTATCAGCCATGTGAAAGTCCAACACTTTAACTACCACTTCACCTGCTGGCCCTGGGGAAGGATTCGAAATTGGAAAAGACTTCCGTGTGGGGAGTAGAACTGCAGACAATGAAGAAGAAGTTGAGGACTGAGCCGCAAGAGGAGATGGTTTCTGGAGTGAGAAAGCAAGGAAATCGGCCTCTCTTGGCGCATCTGTGGATGCCCCGCTTGTTTGTAGGAATCGGTGAAACCAAGGGGATCACATCGTTTTGCAAACTGAAGCACCATGCGCGTAAGGAGCCTTGATGTTTTCTATCTGTGTTTCTGGGACTGGGTTCTATCTGGGCTCTGTTATGGGCTGGACTGTGTCTTCCAAAATTCTTATGTTGATGTTCTAACCTCTCGTACCTCAGAACGTGACTGTATTTGGAGACAGGGCCTTTAACGACTTAGCAAGGGTAAAGGAGATCATTACAGTGGCCCTTCATTTGATGTGGCTGGTCCCTGTAAGAAGAGATTAGGTCACAGACAGGCACAGAGAAAGACCTTGCAAAGATGAAGAGGATGGCCCCCAGTGAGGCCTCAGGAGAAATTACCCCTGCTATCACCTCCACCTTGGACTTTCAGCCCCAGAACTGTGTGTCAATACCTCTGTAGCTGAAAGCCTCAGACTGTGATACTTTGCTGTGGCACCCCAAACTCACTAAAACAGGCTACAAGGAAAAGCAGGTTTACAGGACCGGGCTTTGGTGGAAGGACTGGGAAATCAGTTGGTGTGGAAGAGGTGAGGGTTTCTAACTGAGTTCTGCTCTAGTAAACAGTGTTTCTTTTCTCGTGCACTTGTTTCTCAACCATTAAAAACCTGAATTCAGAGACCAGCAGATGGCGTAATGGTTGCATTACCGGACTCATACGTAGTTGACCACTGTTCAAGTCCTGGACCTGGTGGCTTCAAACTCGTGCTGTGTGTGTGTGAGTGTGTGCATGCCCCAAATCCTGAGAGGAGTGTGGAGGAAAAGGGATTGTGGCTTGGCCACCCCCCTCTGGGGGGGGTGTCATTTCTTGCTTTATGTCTCTCTGTCTGTCTCTGTCTCTCCAGTGAGCACATACACCCTATAGCAAAAACCTCTCTAAAAGAATAAAATAAATAAATAATAGTTAAAAAAATAAAACCGAATTTATTTTTCAAGGTCCAGACCAAAGCCACATCGTCAGTCTACCTCCTCAGCCCCAGCAGGTGGCAACTACCCCTCCCTTTGTGCCCAGTTGCTCCTGTTGAACTTACTCCTTCCTCACTTTCTGCGTGGGCATCAGTTTCCCCCTGTGGATGGTGGTGCCAGGGACGGTTCATCTTTGTGAGCCTAGCAAAGTGCCTGGTGCATTCACTGAGCAATTTTTGAATGGAAGGAATCACTTTTCACTTGGAAGTTTATAGTCCAATGAGTCCCTTCTCCCAGCGACACCGTGTAACCCAGCAGAGTCAAACACAGGGGTGGAATTCTCTAGGTGTTGAGGGTTTCCGGGGTCTCAGTGTGAGCATAGCACTTGCCTTCTCCTCCGGGACGGGGCTTGTACAGAGGCTGACAGTGACAATGACGATGGCAGTGAGCACGCAGAGGAGGAGGGCAAAGTACAGGTAGTGGAAGTCCCTCAGCACAGCCGGCCTCCCGTCCACCTCTCCACAGGCTGGGACTGGGTACGAGAACTCCAGGATCATGCGCAGAAGCCCCACTACCAGGCCAAACATGAGGCCCCAGAAGGCTCCCTGTGGGAAGAGGGCCGACACGGTCAGGGTGAGATGCAGGCAGGAGACCCCGTGAGGCTGAAGGCCACTTGGCCCCCAAGTCTCTCCCAGTGGTTCATTACAGTGTGTGGCAAATCTGTCTCAGTGAAAGCTGAGACTTGGTCTTGATTTGGAGGCAGGCAGTGAGGTGTACTGAAAAAGGGGTGGGAGCTCCAGTCAGACAGACCAGTATTTGAATCCTGGCTCCATTTTGGGATGGCTCTGAACTAGTGACTGGACCTTGCTGCCTTGGGTCCATGTGAATTAATAAGAGAAATTAGTAAGTACTAAATAATAAATGCTTAATATCCAAGTAGCATGGAAGACGCTCTTGTAGTAAGCAGGGAATGCCAACGTCCCCTTCCCAACTTTCTGTTTTGATAACTCAGATATCAGAATAGAGGTTTTCCTTCTGTTGCTTAAAAAGTTTAATTTTTTCTTTGCCTAAGAATATGTGCACTCACTGGACAGAGGGAGAGAGAGGGGGGGCAAGAAAGCACTCCCCATGGGGGATGGTGACACTGCAATCCCTTCTCTTCCATCTCTCCTTCCTGTCAGGATGTTGGGCACACACACATACGTGCCTGGTGTGCTGGGTTTGGGACTCAAACCATGCCATCAGTCATATGGGATCCAGATCATGTAACCCCCAGACCACACGCTAATCTGAATTTTTTGTTAGGGAATGCCAACGTCCCCTTCCCAACTTTCTGTTTTGATAACTCAGATATCAGAATAGAGGTTTTCCTTCTGTTGCTTAAAAAGTTTAATTTTTTCTTTGCCTAAGAATATGTGCACTCACTGGACAGAGGGAGAGAGAGGGGGGGCAAGAAAGCACTCCCCATGGGGGATGGTGACACTGCAATCCCTTCTCTTCCATCTCTCCTTCCTGTCAGGATGTTGGGCACACACACATACGTGCCTGGTGTGCTGGGTTTGGGACTCAAACCATGCCATCAGTCATATGGGATCCAGATCATGTAACCCCCAGACCACACGCTAATCTGAATTTTTTGTTGTTGTTAAAGAAAAGTTTTGGAACCTTCCCTTTATAGCTCCATTTGGGCCGAATCTGTACCCGTTCCTAGTATGCGAGTCCGCTGGCTTATATTTTCAACACCTCTGGAATGAGCAGAAATACCAGAATTCACTGGGGGCTCGCTGTGTGCCATGGTTACTGGTGAGAATACGAGATCTCTGCACACGGTAGACTCCTTGCTTTGGTACGCCATCAAGGGCGGGGAGGGGGGGGAGTGTTCTGTGATTTCCTGATCAGAGACCTTGAGCCTTCACATTGCTCTTGTGAAGTCATGTCTGTGATGGCCTTAACTACCCAAGGCACCCCAGCAGATGTGGCCTGTCTGTCCTAGGCTGGCCTAGGAGTGACCAAGGTTCTAGCCCTGGCAGTTATGGAAGTGACGCATGCGCAGGTGCTCTGAAAGTTTGTACTCTGTCATCATCATTGTTATGGCTGCTGTTTCACTCCATGTAGAGCCCTACAGTGTTAGAAATGGAGTGGATGTATGATCTTCCAGTCTGTCTTGTGCCTGCACATGCACTGTTCTTCGTGCCTTGTATCCAGAACACTCATCTCCCACCCCAGTCCTTCAGGTCCTGGCCCAGATGTCACTTGGAAAGCTTTCCTGACCCCCTCCCAGGAGCTTCATAGGCTAGATACTCCTGCTGTTTACTCTCACAGCAGCCGTTGCACTTCATCATCATTGCCTATTTAATCATCTCTTCCCCCTGCGGGCCCAGTGACGGCAGACCTACATGGACCTTGTAAACGATCTCAGCCACCATTGTAGGAGTGGGGAACGTTTGTTGAATGAGTCTACACCTAACGTTCTCATTAGGATGGGAGCTTGCAAGGGACACAGGTTTTTCTAAGGTCCCACAGACCAGGTGATTGAAAGGCTAGATCTCCAGCCCCACGGTTCAGGAAGAGAGATGGTGTCCTACTGCACTCACAGGCTCTGTGACTCTCCTGCAGAAGATGGCCAGCAGAAAGAGGGCGGTGATGGGTGGCGCCAGGTAGCTGGTGACAGACTGGATGTAGTCGAAGAGCTGCCCACTGTTGGCACTTTGGATGATGGGGATCCAGAGGATGCTGATGACGACCAGGAGCACCACGAACACTCTGCGGGGAGCACAGGGCACTGTGAGTGCACTCAAGTGGGCATGGCATGGGGCGGGGTGAAGGACCTGCACGGGAAGGGGATAAGGAGGTGGGCACATGGCTGCTGAATCAGAGATAGAAGGTCAGAATCCCAAATGCTAAGAATCAGAAATTTAGACTGTTCAGAGTCCAGGAACCCAGAATTGTAAAACCTCTTCATTTCTAAATTGGATGCCTTTAAGGCCATCTTGCCCACTGCTATTCAGGGGAGAATTTTCCTCTTTCAACCCCACTGCCCACCCAGTAGTAGGCCTCTTGTCTCTGTATGGGATGCCTTTCCTTCTCTTTCACATCCCAGCCCAGGCAGGGAAGCTGCCTTCTCCAGACTCCTTTGGCTCTGACCCTGTCTTCCTGACATTGTCCCTGAGCTTAGGCAGGCCTCCACCTTCTCCTGACTCAGTCCTAAGTTCCCAGAGCACTCTCTATTCCTGATTTTGCAGGTGAATGTGAACATGTTGAAAATCTTGCTTGTGTGGGGTGCAGTAATGCATCAGGCCATGAGATGGCGCCCAAATCCCACTGATTAAGCAGCAGCAACCCTAAGCAGTTAGTGTGCAAGCAGAGAAATGATGCTCCTTTTAAAATCTCTCTGCCTACCTGTTCTCTCTTCTCCTTTTCCTACTATTACCCTTCAGTCCTCTCTTTCTACCTGCCCTCTTTTCTTTTCCTACCACTATCCCACGTGGCTACCCAAGTGGCCTGCCAGTCGCTCATCCTGCTCCTCCATCACACTCAGACGGGGCCGTGGTTGGTGTCTGTGCCGAAGGCTGGGAGGACACAGGTGAGCAAGCAGCTGGAGTCATTAGGCATCTTGCTGGAAGGAACATGAGTGCAAAGACAGGGAAATGTAAGAGATCCAGGTATCTAAGCTCAAGCACCGAACCACAAAGAGAGAAAGTGTCTCAGTCCAGAAACCCGAATTGGAGAACTCCAAATATGAAGCGAAAACATCAGAAAGAGCCCTGCTGGCCCTATGTACATTACAAATCTCCAGCCTGTGGAGAACAAGAGAAACTAGTGACCAAGTTACTTTTTTTTTTTTTTTCTGAGTGTAAAACTGATGCCTACAAGATAAAGCCCAAATTCTTTAGCTTGGTATCAAGACTCGGCATCATTTGGAGACAGCCTCCCCGTAATTCTGCTGGTGCAGCCTCTCGCTGGATTGCCCTTGTCATTAAACTGTGAGCATCCCGTATGCCTCATCCCATGTCTCCAGGACAGCGGTAGGGCACATGGTAGGTGGTCTGGGTGTCTGATGAGTTAAATTAGCAGCAATCTGTTCTCCCGCAATAACAGCAAGAGTCAGTCCAAAAGATTGGCGTGAGCTGCTTGCTCACTTTCTTCCCACGTGTGAAGGTCACCTTTCATTTCCTGTGTTTTGTCATAGTCTCTCGATTAACCTGTTGATCAATTTCAAGAGAAAGGCACGCAAGCAGGGAAGAATTTTTTCTCCCCAGTATTCTGTGGGGGAGGAGTGGCCCAGAGTTGGAGAAGGATTTACCCAAGGCCTGGGGTGGGGTTAGTGGGCTCAGTGTAGTCAGGATCGGACCCACTGTCAGGGCCCAGAACCAGCTGCATCTCCTCAAGGTAACCAGGGCAGGGGAACAGGGGCAAGGGAAAGTGGGTCCTACTAGCAGGGAGGGGCACTCTGGAGGGAGGCAGGGAGGGCCAGCACACCTGCCCACCACCATCAGCTCTTGCTCGGTTGCGTTCTTGCGGAAGCGCTGCCACACATCGATGGTGAACAGGGTGCTGCTGCTGTTGAAGATGGAGGTCAGCGAGCTCATGAGAGCCGCCATGACCACGGCGATCATCAGGCCCCGCAGACCTACAGAGAGGATGCTTGAGTGGACAGCTGGTCTGAGAGGGCAGCTCTGCAAGACCATGGAGGCTGCAGCAGCTTGGCACAAAGTCATCGGTCTGTGAGGGAGGCAGGGCAGGTGGGGGGATGGGGAAGGGGCTGGGTGAGGTTCCCAACCAGAGGTGTGGAACGCGGACCGGTTCTGGCTGAGGTCAGCCTCTACCTTCCACTGTGGCCTTGGGTGGCTCGTCCGCCTTCCCCAAATCTTGGTTTCCTCATCTGTGCCATCAAGGTGTGAGACTAGGTGACCTGTGAGGTTTCCTGCAGCTTTGACAGCTCAATCTTAGGGTTCACAGCTTGTACACACTTGCTTTTGGGGTCTTGGGTGGAGGACGATCATTAATCATTGAATTTAGTGTTTTTGCACCTTCTTTGACATTGAGAGGCTGGGCTAAAGCCCCAGCCTGGAGGGCAGAAGCCGTGGGTTTGCTTCTGGGTCTGCAAGTGTAGTCACTAGCTGTGTGTATGATCTTTGGACTGCTTCCTCACCCTTTCTGTTTTTCTGTCACTGTTTTTCTACCCGGACAAGGGAGGGTAGGACCTACCAATGTCTGAAGTCCCCGTGCCCTTAATGACAAGCTCCTGGAAGATGACTGCTCACCTCTAGAAGACGACATCAGCCCTGGCCCCACTTCCAAATCCACTTATTGAGCCACCTCCCGGCTGTCTCCCTGGAAGACTCCCAGGAACCTTGGACTCGAATATTCCAGACTGAGGCACCCATCTCCTCTGTGGCCTTCTGTTTCCTTCTTTGGCTCATAATGCCATTTTAGTCCCACATCAGACACCTCAGAGTCATCTTAAACCCCTTCCTCTGCTCTCCTCCTGCTCCCTTCACCCGTCAGCATCTCAGCGGCTGCTCTGCCCCAGCTGGCTCTCCCACTGTCTCCATTCTGAAGTATTTTGTTGATTCATTTCTCATTCTGTTTGTCCACTGCCTTCACATGTCCCCAAACTCGATATTAGTTCAATCCACCTTCTAAAGGCTGAGACCTGGGAGCCCCCTTTGATTCCTGCCTTTCTCAAACACAGCCAGCCATCAAGGCCTGCCAATTCCACCTCACCAATACCTTGAAACCCCTTCTCTCCATTTCTAAAGCCGCACTCGGTCTATGCCACTGTCACCACTGACCTGCTCCATAGATAGTGCATTCATTGTCTCCCCTGCCCCCTAAGCCTGCCTCTGCGGAGTGGTCTTTCAAAGCACAGATCCACTCAGGCTCCCTCCCATAGTAAAGGCTATGCCCTAGAATGAGGCTTGGTCTCAATATCCTCTCTAGGGAGGCTGCTCTTTCCTCCTCGTCACTGAGTCCACACCGGGCTACTCTCAGTTCGGGCTTCATGCTCTCTCTCCACCCCAGGCCCTTGGGTGCCCCTCTGCCTCTGTGTGCCTACAATATCTCTCAGGACTCAGCTTCATTTCCTCCTCTCTGGGAGACCTTCCCAGTGTTCCCTAGACAGGCCTGGTGCCTGCACAGGGTTCCCTTGGCCCCCACTGTCACCACACTGATCACACTGTGTCATGTTCTCAGCAAGTTTATGCACTGAAGTTCGAGACTGCAAGAAGTCTGAAAACAGAGGATGCCTTTTATTTCTGCATCTCACCCGTGTCCCGAGCTGATGCCTTATCAAACTTACGGGAGTGTGTGTGTGTGTGTGTGTGTGTGTGTGTGTGTGTGTTGGGGCAGTCAGGGGCTGCAGAAGTAGATATTTTTCTTTCCTCCTCTCATCTATTCCATTCGTTTTTTTTTTTTTTTTTTAGAAAGAGATTTTTTCTATAGGGCACATGTGCTCATCAGAGAGACAGAGACAGAGAGAGACAGAGAGACAGAAAGCAAGAAATCACTCCCCCTGTCCCCCCATCCCCTTGGGGATGGCCATGCTGCAATCTCTTTTCCTCCATTCTCCTCTCGGGATCTTAGGCACGCACATGCTCTGGGTATGAATCTTAAGCCGCCAGGTCTGGGACTCAAACTGTGATTGACTACGTGGCAGTCCAGCAATGCAACCATTACTCCATCTGCTGGTCCCTCCGTCCATTCATAGCGATTATTCCTAGGCACTGTGGAGTGACGGGTGGAGTTGGGGAGATGGGACTCACCGACAGGCATGAGAGCCATGACCAGCTTGGGGTAGGCGATGTTGGAACACCCGACTCGGGCTCCGCACACGCTTTGGCAGACATCGGGGTCCACACAGCCCACCTCATCTGCAGAGGAAGTGATGTAGTTAGAGCCGTGTGAACCTGAGCCTTCTCGGGCTGGCAGATATTTGCTTCCTGACTCTACAGAGAAGTGCTCACTGGAGACTCTGGCAGAGACCCATGCCTAGAAGGCCAAGGGCAACAGTGGCATCTGGATCTCTCACAAGTCTCTCGCTCACGTCCTGCCCTAGCAGGGTGAACTCCTCTGGGCTTTAGGACTTATGTGTTGTTAATATCAAGTACCTTTGGAAGGTGCCCAAAACACCATCATTGTTTTTCCCATAAAAAGAGAAACAGGATATAAAAATGGCATTCGGATACAAATTTATTCTATTGAAATGCCTATTATCTGTTTGGTCTATCAAACCTAAATTATTCACTGAGTTTTCAATAGAAAAATCATTCCAGCTCCTGCTCTGGTGAACATTACCCATGAGCCCCTTCTCCGGAAGCCCCTGGCAAGCCCCAAATCCCTATGCCCAAAGAACAAGACTAGCTCTTACCTGGGTAGAGGGCCCGGCTGATCATGCCAGGCATGACGATGAAGAACATGGGGAGGATCTTCAGGTAGCCCCCCAGCACTGAGCCTCCCTTGGCATGGGACAGATTCTTGGCAGACAGTGACCTCTGCACAATGACCTGGAAAGGCAGCACTGGAGCTATGCCCTCGGGGAAGGAGCTGAGCCCTGGCACTGGTCACTGCCTGCCCCTGGTCCAGACTTCTAGGCATCCAGGTGACTGGATTTTCTGCAGGAAGCCACCCCAATTCCTGGTGGGCTAGACCACGCCTGGTGGGATCATTACCTGGTCTGTGCACCAGCACCAGGTAGCCAGCACTGTGAGCCCGAAAATGAGACCTGGCCAAGGGATGTCCCCGCTCACAGGATCCCGAAGCATGTGGAAGGCATCAGGTCGTGGAAGGTGACAGGTGGTATTGGGGACGGTGACATTTGGGATGGCCTGGCTGTACCGCTGCTCCAAGCCTGAGTACCAACCCACCTCCTGAAAGCCTGTGGGGAGAGACGCCATGATTGAAACAGCCCTGAGTTCCTGCTG